CTGACAGTGGCCAGCACCAGGTGCCCCAGAGAGGGTGGACCGAAGACAATGATCCAGCGATTTGTCTCCTGCCATCCCTCTCCAGCCTCTGACAAACAGAGGCCAAGGACACCATTTTATCCCCTGGCTAATAGCCTTTTATGGACCTAACCTCCATGAAATTATCTAGCTTCTCTTTAAACTCTATTATAGTCCTAGCCTTCACAGCCTCCTCTGGCAAGGAGTTCCACAGGTTGACTACACGCTGTGTGAAGAAGAACTTTCTTTTATTAGTTTTAAACCTGCTACCCATTAATTTCATTTGGTGTCCTCTAGTTCTTCTATTATGGGAACTAATAAATAACTTTTCTTTATCAGCCCTCTCCACACCACTCATGATTTTATAGACCTCTATCATATCCCCCCTCAGTCTCCTCTTTTCTAAACTGAAAAGTCCCAGTCTCTTTAGCCTCTCCTCATATGGGACCCGTTCCAAACCCCTAATCATTTTAGTTGCCCTTTTCTGAACCCTTTCCAAGGCCAAAATATCTTTTTTGAGGTGAGGAGACCACATCTGTACACAGTATTCAAGATGTGGGCGTACCATAGTTTTATACAGGGGCAGTAAGATATTTTGGGTCTTATTTTCTATCCCTTTCTTAATAATTCATAGCATCCTATTTGCCTTTTTGACTGCTGCTGCACACTGTGTGGAAGTTTTCAGAGAACTGTCCACGATAACTCCAAGATCTCTTTCCTGATTTGTCGTAGCCAAATTAGCCCCCATCATACTGTACGTATAGTTGGGGTTATTTTTCCCGATGTGCATTACTTTACACTTATCCACATTAAATTTCATTTGCCATTTTGTTGCCCAATCACTCAGTTTGGTGAGATCTTCTTGGAGTCCCTCACAGTCTGCTTCTGTCTTGACTATCCTAAACAGTTTGGTATCATCTGCAAACTTTACTACCTCACTGCTTACCCCTTTCTCCAGATCATTTATGAATAAGTTGAAAAGGATTGGTCCCAGGACTGACCCTTGGGGGACACCACTAGTTACCCCTCTCCAATCTGAAAATTTACCATTTATTCCTACCCTTTGTTTCCTGTCTTTTAACCAGTTCTCAATCCAAGAAAGGACCTTCCCTCTTATCCCATGGCCATGTAATTTACACAAGAGCCTTTGGTGAGGGACCTTGTCAAAGGCTTTCTGAAAATCTAAGTATACTATATCTACTGGATCCCCCTTGTCTGCATGTTTGTTAACCCCTTCAAAGAACTCTAATAGATTAGTAAGACAGGATTTCCCTTTACAGAAACCATGTTGACTTTTGTCCAACAAATTATGTTCTTCTACATGCTTCACAATTTTAATCTTTACTATTGTTTCAACTAATTTGCCCGGTACTGAAGTTAGACTTACTGGTCTGTAATTGCCTGGATCGCCTCTAGAGCCCTTTTAAAATATTGGTGTCAAATTGGCTACCTTCCGGTCATTAGGTACGGAAGCCGATTTAAGGGATAGGTTACAAACCACAGATAATAGCTCAGCAATTTCTCATTTCAGTTCTTTTAGAACCCTTGGGTGAAAGGCATCCAGTCCCGGAGATTTGTTAACATTAAGTTTTTCTATTTGTTCCAAAACCTCCTCTAATGACACTTCAATCCAGGACAGTTCCTCAGATTCATCAGCCACAAAGGACGGTGCAAATTTGGGAATCTCCCCAACCTCCTCAGCCGTGAAGACTGAAGCAAAGAAATCATTTAGTTTCTCTGCAGTGGCTTTATCGTCCTTGATTGCTTCTTTTATAGCTCGATCATCTAGGGAACCCACAGGTTTTTTAGCTGCTTCTAATGTACTTAAAAAACATTTTGTTATTTCTTTTTGAGTGTTTGGCTAGCTGTTCCTCAAAATCTTTTTTTGCTTCCAGTTACTTTGCGTCAATATCAACAGCGGTAGAGATTTAGTGGGGAAAGTCTCTTTGACACCAGCTTGGGCGCTGGTGACCTTGTACACCGTTTCTCTGCCCTGGGTGGCTCAGAATGAGTGGTGGATCCCTGATAGCCGAAGGCTGAAGAGCCTTATCCAAGAAGAACATGTGGAGCCGCAATGAGGATGTTTCTGTGGAATATGTCCCTCACTGAAGAAGCAAATGTATGAGGAGTCACCATCAGAGGGTGGAATGGCCTCTCAGCATGTGTCACATTTCTTGAAGACCGGGGAGCCAGGCAGAGTTTGTTGTATTATTTTTTTTTTCTATTTAATATTATGTATTTTGGGGTGGTTTTTTTTTTTAAGAGGCTGTTGGCGGCAGGGCCATAACAGCTTTTGGGCTTGCTTTTTGCCCCTTATCTCTCTCTCCCTTTTTTTTAAATTAAATATGCAAAAAAGGATATCGTAGTAGTGAGTAAGTTAAAAGGGCTGAAAATATTAAATATTAAAACTAAAGAGAAAAGACTGACTGATGCAGTTAAAATTCTGAGGTATGTCTCTGAGGAGAAGCAGCTCGAAGTTCATCTGCAGCTGAGGGTGGCAATGAAGGAACTGAGGAGGTGTAGGGTCACATGCACAAAACAACAGGTGCGAAAGGCATGAGGTGTCTAGTGCACGTGCACAACCTAACCGGCTACTGCTGTGCATAACTCTGATCTGCGGCGCTGGGGCGACCCGACACCTGAAGTGGAGCACCCATGGAGACACTGTAAATATTTAGTAGGGTTTGGAAGAGCTGGAGTTAGAATAAAATAATTCCTAGGACCAATAATCCTTTGAGGTCCTCCATGACTTCAAGGGAAGAGTCTGTTCTAATCAACCCTGGTTGTTAGGGTTACTCAGAGTGCTTCATTTGATATACACTCTACTCTTAACTTTACATGTACAAAGTAAAGCATAGACCATAGCACTGCAAGTGGGGATACACAACACTCTGAAAGGCTGTTAATATAAGCAAAAAGAAAGAATGTGTACTTACAATTCCTTTCACTATTGGATCACTTTCTAAAGACTGGGTGTTTTTAAATTTTTGAAGAATGAGAGAAAAAAATGGGCAACGAATGGGGCAAGTAGGGAAACTAAGAAGCACAGAAGAAGTAGCAAATTAATGTTACAGGGACTGGGGGCAAGAAAGGCCAAGGCAGGTAAATGGAAGATAAAGTTAGTGAATGGGGATCAGAAAATACCATTCAAGATAGGAGAGGGGAAAAAAAAAAAAATCTAGTGACTTATAGAAAAGAGTAAAAAAAAATGTTTTTGAAAACCATCCATAAGAATCTTAAGCTTGGCAAGATCAGCAATTGTGCAGGTGCCTGAACTCCACCTTTGCACTATTTTGGGATTGGGATCCAGCCAAATAATTTTGCTCTGGAGCAGTCAGACAAGAACTACTATATGGTAAAATAAAATTGGTTATACAGTACTTAGTAAAGAATTGAATGGTCCGTATACAATAAGCTTCTTTAAAAGTGTTATACAATAGTCCTTTATTTTTATTTAAATGTTACTGAAGACACATCTTGGTTCACTACCTCACAGATGTGATAAATCCATAGCATAACTAACATTCCCCAAAGAACCAGTTATTTCTGTAAGTGCTGACTTCATGTGACAGAAAGCAGAAAAGCTGATGGCCAAAAAAAGTACTCTAAGGATATCTGTACTAAACATTTTGAAAATATTTCCATGTTTCTCTACGCCATATCCTTGTGAATGTCCTAAAGCTCATCTCAGTGCTCTCTCACTTAACATCTCTACATTCATACACCTGCTTTGCTCACTTCATCCTTCAGGCCTATTTGAACAGGATTGGACTCCATATGGAATGCAGTAACACCAATCCTGAATTGCTTGTTGCTGACTGACCCCAAGGATTATTGCCCCACAGAGTCTACAGCACCTCCAGAATCCAAGTGTGAAATCCTTGGTCCACTTAAATCAATGGAAGTTTTGCTATTTACTTTAGTGAGGCCAGGCTTTCACACCAAAGTACATACATGTAAATGCAGACTACAAAATAACCATGTGGTTCCTTGGAAATACTTTATCTGATTATTTGTCATGTTTATCTTTGTTAATATACTACATCAAATTGTCCCTTTCACAGTGTGCCTCACAACTTAATTAACAGTTAACAACACTATTTTAAAGAGGAGTGGAAGATAAATAATAATTATATATCCTTTACATCAGTGACCAAAACAATGAAAAAATGTACTTCACCTGGTTTATTTGCTGCATCTTTTCCCTTGGATGCTTCTTCTTTCTTTCCTTTTTTGTCTTTAAAGGATTCTGACTTTTTGAGTGGCTCTAAGGAAAAATTAAAAAAAAAAAACACAGACACAGACACACAGCAGACACTTTTAAGATGTGGAATTACCAACATTTCTGAAATATTAGAATTTGATAAATATTGGTATATTAATATGTTAATAATGAAGAGCTGGTCTTTCCTGTACAAACATTACACTTCCAAGATGGTGAAGATACCATCTCTGAGGTTAAACACAGTAAGGAAAGGCTGAAAATAATGAGTTAACTCAAAGAAGTAAATTATACCTTCTGGACAGCTCCTTTTGAATATTTTTTACCTCTTCTCAAAGTATCTGTGATAAGATGTGAAACTGACTCATGTAATTGGAAAAGATAGACAGGCTATTCAGAGGTTTGAAAGAGTTACTTAATAGGAAACAGCTTTAGTTAATCATTTTTTAAATACAATGAAAGTATTTATTATTTCCCAGGATCTGTTCCAAATAGCCAAGAAAGAGCTGTGTCAATAAGTTTGCTAGGACTGACAAACCTTTGGGTGATTTGGATTTTGCAAGCTCCTTATCTTCAGAAGCAGATTCAGTTTCCTTATTTTTGTCTGATGGTACTGTCAGTGTTTCAGTTTGTGGAAATGGAGTGGGATCTTCTTGCTTTTTCTCAGCTTCTTTTTTTTCCAGTTCTTTTCCTTCAACATAATTTCAATAAACATATATAATCTGATAAAAGAGGCACTATAATCATATTATTAATTTAAAATATTGAAGATTATTCATTATTATATCATATCAGTGTAAACAACATATGTTTTTATTGTTATGTACTTAAATGATTAGCATTTAAAAAGCTGCCTTTAAAATAGATGTCTCCATTTTGATTTGCACACGCTATTTACAGAATAACTGAAAAGATGCCCTTTTACATTAAACATATCTTGACAATTTTTGCTCTCAGTTTTACTAGTGTAAAACACTAGCAACTTCAATTAAATTATTGTAAATTTATACCAATGTTTCTTGGAAAAGAATTTGGCCCAAGCGTACATAACACATATATACATCAATACACACATACGCACACATGCATCATGTGCACACACCCCAGCTGAACAACTATCAAAATTTCCACTTTTGTATTTTTTGGAGTCTGATTCAAAAAGTTTTGCCATTTCTGCAGGTGAATATAGGGTTCCATGTGCAAAATAACAAAAAATGTCACCTAATGGGGAAATTTGTTTGCCTCTACAGACTAATACTGATCTTTGTCAATAAAACATATAATTAGAGAATGTTTTTGTCTATATAAAAATTTGCACTAAGAATGAAAAATGTGTTAGTTTTCTACAAACATGCAAAAAATTAGATTATTCAGTGATAGTAAGGTTGGTTTTTTTTTTTTTACACATCTCCCTTCTGAATTATAAAGGCCTAACCACATATTTTAACATTAAAGTTTCCATATGAAACACGAATTCAAAAACTTACTTTTATTCTGCTTTTTAACAATTTCTTCGAGTAAGATTTCCTTAATCCTTTTACATAGAAGGTTCTTTTCTGTCTCACCATTGACTTTCACTAGAATATTTTGCTGCACTGAAAACCATTTCTCTAGTTTTGGCCAGTTGTCTAGAAAGCCTGCAATTCTGTGAAATCATATCAATGTATAATTTTAAAATTCAAATATTAAAAGAAATAAAGAATAAAATCTTATTCCCAACCCAACAAACAGATTTAACAGCATAATGTCTAGCCTAAATTGAATATCAATCCTGCAGATATTCTGGATGCAGAGCTCCCTGTGTAGATCAGGCCACAAGGGAAATCAATCTTATGTTACATCATCATTACAAATCAGTAATTAATAGTTATTTAATACAAACTAATGATACATTTGAGGGATGCAAGTTGTCCCTTTAAATTTGCTCATGATACAAAATTAAATATTTGGCGCAAATGATTTTAAGAGAAAGTATAGCACTACTTTTGTATATAAATATAAAAAAGGACAAAAGTCCAATTTTGGAAATCTAGTACCTAAATCAAATTTAGACATAATGCATTTATGTATATGTAAATAGTTGTTTTGATATGAATTTGAAAAGTCTTTTAAAGAGTTTAAAATAGAGTATATGAATTATTATCTTTAGGAACCATTTATACTATACCAATAATGAGGATACTTCTGGGCTCCAACTTCAGCAAATTTCTTTAACAATTTAAGCACATGAATGATGTCATTAGAAGTCAAGTATATACTGAATACTCTGTGCATAAAGTTAATGACATGCTTCAGTACTCTGCTAAATATAACAAACCTATGTTGTATTTGGTCCCCAACTAAATCAATCTTCTCTCTTTCTTTGAGTTCAACATCTGAAGTTTGATTGCTGTCTTCCAGCTGAATCTGAGATGAACTTGATATATCTGTTGAACAGAAAATATGAGACTACTGAAACAAGTTACTATATATACTTCTTCTGTGTTCATGTTAAGTTTATTAAAATGAACTACTGACTGGCTACTTCACTCTTTCATTTTTAAAACTGGCTCCTTATATGCTACACAAAGGCGATGGTAATAGAGTATTTTATTAGAAATACATTCTCCTCAGGTTCCTATGATTATGACATTTGCTATCAAATTTTCAAAATGCTATAGTAGCATGATCCCTTTAAATTACTGAATATTGCAAATCTAAAATTCTAAGGCCTTGTCTTCACTGCATTGTTAGTTCTAGTTGTAATTTAGGTTTTACTTTTTAACCTACTTTCTGTTCACACACAAAAATATTTAGCTAGAGTTAAGTGTTGCTTTATACTTGAGCCAGCTGACTTGAGCTAGCTGGTCAAAGGACATAGGTTGGGATTCTGTTGCTTGAGCTAGTAATACAGTAGGGATGCAGCAGCTCATATACCTGTAACCCTTCTGCCAGGCCAAGTTAATAGCAGCAAAGGCCGGGTTCAGTATCTAGGAGTCTCCTCCCAACAAGGAAATACAACACCGGCTCGTGCCCCCACCCAGTGACCTGGGAAATCTTACATACACCTCTGGGTGCCTCAAAGAGGCAATTCTTCCCCTCTTGCAAGCACAGAGCCTCAGTATAGCAGTATTACATTTAATAACATGAGGTAACCAACATCAGCATTAACTTGGGAAAACACCACAACTTGGATTCATAGACCAAACGTGAGCAAAGACCCTCTACCCAGCTATGAATCGCCCAAAGTCCCAAAAGTCCAACACTCCAAGAGTCTCTTAAGTCCAGCAACCCAAAAAAATCACCCAAAGTCCCAAAGTCCAACACCCCAAAAGTCTCTGCCCCGGGTCAGTGCCGCCCCAGGGTTCAAAAGTTCACCCGGCAGGGTTTTACCATCCCAACCTAGAGGGACGGGGATTGATACACCTTACGTGGTCCACCGATGGCTCCGCCTCTCCGTAGGGTTCTGCCACTGACGACAACGCGAGTCACTCCGCCACACTCCACCTGTCATCCAGTGTGTCACCTCAGCTGTCCCACGAAGTGTCCAGCTCCGCCAGCCGTCTCGGTCCACGTCCCTGGCCGCCAGCTGGTTGCTCCTGCAGCTGCTCCACTGGCTGTCTGCTGCCACTCCTACCAGCCGCAGGTCGTCCCCGTCAGCCGTTCTGCCGTCTTCCATCTGCCCGCACCCACAGGTCGCCCCGCCAGCTGCATCTGCTGTCCGCCTGCACTCACCGGTCGTCCTGGCAAACCGCTCTGCTGTCCGCCTGCGCTTGCTGGTTGTCCCTTGCAAGCTGCTCTCTGCTGTCCTCCTGCACTTGTTGGTTGTTCCTGTAAGCTGCTCTGCTAGTAGCTCAGCAGCATAGCATCAGGCTCCCCACAGCAATAGTGATTTCAGCTCTTCAGCAAGTTCAGCTCATAATAGAGGAGCCTCAGTGCTTGTGCTAGTGCTCCACTGGCCCACAGTGAAGTCAACTCTGCAGTTCACAACTAGACTCCTAATGGAATCCAAATTAGTTCTGATATTCCACAGTGGAGAGAGGAGGGGGTGCAATCAGTCTTGTTTAGGCCCTCAGACAGGCTGGGCTGGGCTGGGCTGGGCTGGGCTGGGCTGCTCTCCTCCTCCTCACCCACCCGGTACAAAGACCTGTCCTCAGCCTCTCTCAATTTGACTGGGCTGGAACCCAGGCCCCTTGTGAGTGCTATTTAGTTTATGGTGAATCCCTCTGTCATAAACAGTTCCACCATTCCATTGTCCTTGATTCACATAATCAGGGTAACAACACTTTTATCCCCCCTGCCTCAATAACAGAGAGACTGGGGATCCCACAGTGGCCAAAGTGACCATTTGGGCTGCCGTGAACACATATTAGATGGGGTGGGTGTGTCTATGCAAATTGGGTGTATCTATGCAAATGAGATCAGCCCCTGAAGTCTCTTTGCACCACTCGCCCCAGTTCACCACCAGATGTCAGGGTAGAGCTTACCCTGACCTTGCTTACATACCAACCACTCATCAACTCCTAATATTAGTGCTGCTAGTCATATCAGCATGTTTTAACAATGTGGTCATCTCACTTGAGATTGGTTAGCCCGAGTGGAGCAACTCAAGCATACCTAACTTCAGATAACTGTTTTAGGAATTTTAAGGTGCATGCTTTTTTCAGTTAGGTTCTTTTCAAGATAATATGACCCTCTATAGCCATCATGTGTAAAGTGACAGAGGGTGTATTCTGAGTGGAGTGTCAGGGTGACCATTTGTTGCCCCCCTTTTCTTTGACTGTATAATGCAGCGTGTTTGACTATTTTATCAAAAACAATGATCCCTGAATCCTCACAAGACTAAATGAACATACATATTGCAGGTAGTGATCATTGTGTGGAATAATGGTGCAACTTACTCAGGTGTACACATTTCCTCTTTTCCCTTTTGCATCCGTCCTAGTTTTCAGTCACTGCAATATGAGGCCCACAGAGAATGGTGTTATCTGCCCATGCACAACTAAATAGTAATATTTCTTCACTTGCTGTCCCCTATATTTTTTCTACTTGGTACTTCATTAAATTATGTGGGACATTGCATATCAGCTGCCGGCAACATAATGCAGATCTAAATAAACACATCATTTTTGGCTGCTAGTGAGCTTTAGAAAAATGTATTAATGATTTTTTGTTCCACTGAGTTTAAGTTATTGTGAGACATTCTGATAAATCTTGAGAACATCTGTAACGAGCATGTGATTATTATGTCATATATATTTAGCTTACACTGTAGCAGGTTTACATAATCTGAAGACCAAGGCCAAAAGGAGCCTACAAAATATTAAAATACAATCAAAAGCTTCCCTCTTATATAACTATATGTTTAGACTCATCCTCAGCTTTGTTTTCTACAATACACAATTCCTATCCATCAATCATTATCATCATCAAGGAAGATAACAAGTGAACTTAAGAGTTTCTGGTATTTGTGACAAAAATTATGCAAGTTTATATGTGATTACAATCCAGTTCACTATCTCCTGGCACATAATCAATCTGACCCTTAGTATTGCAAAGGTATGGCAACCATTCAGTACATTAATGACATTGCTCCTTTGGTGTCGTAACTACTTTGTATTTCCTATTTTATCATGATATGGTTGTCACTAAGCTTTTTTAAATGTATGCAGTATAATATAACTCACCCTTCATGCCCGCCATACGTTCTAGTACTGTGGTGTCTGAAATGTCTAATAACAGAGCAAAATCAAAAGCAGGTAGGGAAAAAGGTGGCTCTTTTGGGGCTGCTGGGTCTGTAAGCAGGGAGGACTTTTTAAACTTCTCATCCTTCATTTCTGCTTTGTCTGGATCACGCCCTGTAAGGGCTTTTTCAAGTAGTTTTGCCTGGTTTATTGTCATTGGAAAGCCATCCATGATCCATCCCTTCTTCTGCGGTGTTTGTCTAAATATAAATAAGGAACTATAAACACATAGAGAAAATAATCCTTTTTCTCTTCAGTATGTCTACATAGCAGTATTATTTCAGCAATTATTTCAAAACAATTTTGAGATGGAAGACTTCTTACTCCAATTTCTATAACCCTCATTTACGAGGCGTAAGAGAAGTCAAAGGAAGAGTGTTCTTCCTTCGACTTCCTGCTGTGTAGACAGAGCCAAAAGCTGAATTAAGCTATTTTGACTTCAAGTACGCAACTGACATAGCTGAAGTTATGTATCTTAATTCAACTTTTGCCCTGCAGTGTAGATGTGTCCTATGTGAGGAAGTGAGTTGTAGCTCATGAAAGTTTATGCTCTAATACTTCAACTTAATATTAACATTTACAATAAAGAGTTTTCCTGTAATTCTTTGATTTGAGATTAGGTACACAAAATATCCTAAAAATTCAATTAAAATTAACACTACAAATCAAAAGATTTTTCCAAATAGAAAAGAGGGCTACAAAACCCCTCCTCCCCCCCCCAAAAAAGACAGCAATTTTCTGGAACAAACACAAGGGCTACGTCTACACTGGCATGATTTTCCGGAAATGCTTTTAACGGAAACGTTTTCTGTTAAAAGCATTTTTGGAAAAGCGTGTCTAGATCGGCAGGACGCTTTTCCGCAAAAGCACTTTTTGCAGAAAAGCGTCCGTGGCCAATCTTGACACGCTTTTCCGCAAAAAAGCCCCGACCGCCATTTTCGAGATCGGGGCTTTTTTTGAGGAAAATAAATCTCAGCTGTCTACACTGGCCCTTTTGCACAAAAGTTTTTTGGAAAAAGACTTTTGCCCGAATGGGAGCAGCACAGTATTTCCGCAAAATCACTGACAATCTTACATGAGATCGTCAGTGCTTTTGCGGAAATTCAAGCGGCCAGTGTAGACAGCTGGCAAATTTTTCCGGAAAAGTGGCTGATTTTCCGGAAAAACTGGCCAGTCTAGACACAGCCTATGGGACTTTATAGAATGAGAAAAGTTGCCAATTATCTATTCTCTGTCAACATCTGGAACTATGTATTAAATAAAAGATATCTGTATCCAGATTTTGATGAGCTAGAGGAAGATGCATGCCTTGATTGACTTGCCTATTAATTCAGAGGAAGTGAAAACAATTCCATGAGCAGACCATCTATTTCAATAAGCCAACTCAGAGTCAGGTATTATTCACCATGACAAAGAATGGCAGTGTCTGCCCCTACGACACACATAATTTAGCCGTTTCAGAGGGGTACCTGTGTTAGTTTGTAACTTTAAAAAAAATGAATAACCTGTAGCATCTTAGAGGCTATATCTAGACTGCAGGCTTCTTTTGGAAGAAGCTTTTCTGGAAGAGATCTTCCAGAAAAACTTCTTTTGAAAGAGAGGTTCACACAGCAAAAGCGCATCGAAAAAGTGATCTACTTTTTTGAAAGATAGTGACCACACTGATTGGATGCTATTTCGCATTTAAGTTGTGATTACTATGGATGGAGCGGCCAACAGGGAACCTGTGCTTTTTCCTGGAGGCCGCTTCTTTCAAACAAAAAACCAAAACAAAACCAAAAAACAAAAAACAGAGCCAACCCGTCTTCCCCGAAAGAGCTCTTTGGGAAAAAGATTTCTTCCTCGTAGAAAGAGGTTTACTGCTGTCAGAAAAACCCCTGTATTCTTTCGACTTTCTGTCAAAAGAATGCAATTGCAGTGTAGACATTAGTGTAGTTTTTCCTGGAAAAATGGCCATTTTTCTGGAAAAACTCTGCAGTGTAGACATACCCAGAGACTAAAAAAATTATTTAGCACATAATTATATCTGAAAGTGAACTACACTGTTTCATACTTAATAGCTTCCACCATGATGTCAACTAGCAATTCATCAGGAATATTTTTTCCTTTCTTCAACAATTGCTCTGATGCTGCACCAAGACTGGCACGAACAGACAGCTGTGAAAAGAGTAATTAAAAGGATATGTAGTACTAATAGCATGTTGAGGAAGTTCAGAGCACTAAAGTGTATGCATTCTACTGCACAATTTTTAATAAATGCAAGATCTTCAGCAACTGCAAACTGGCCTAACATCTTGGTCATTACATGCAAAAAAATCCAGTCACTTTCTGTTCACTTTCAAATCTTAATTTTGATCTTTAGGATTTGCTATTCATGTCCATTTCAATCAGGTGTGTGCACACACATATGAACAGTAGCCAGAAGATTCTTCCCAGAGCAGCATCCATCAGATTGAACCAGGGGCCAAGGAGCTCAATATAGAGCCCTGCCAAACAGTCACCCTCTCAGTTCCTTCTTTCCAGCTACTTTGATAAGGGGGAGGAAGGTGGGTATTGGAACAGACACAAACACCACATCTCAAAGAATAGGTGTTACAAGAAGGTAAGTACTATTATTTCTTCTTCAAATGCTTGTTCATGTTGATGCCAATCAGGTGACTCAGAAGCCTAAGTTTAAGTAGTGGGGTCAGAGTTTTCCACTGTTTAGAGAACTGCTTGTCTGAAGGCCACATGGTCTCTGGTTTACTGGGTAATCACACAGAGCATGGTGAAAGTATGGATGGAGGGCCATTTTGCCCCTCAGAAGATTTCCTGACTGGGGACCAGAGCCAGGAATGCTGCTGAAGAAGCCTGCACTCTGGTAGAATATGCAGTGATTGAGGGTGCAGGGTCCCCACCCGACTGTAGCACTCAAATACATGAAGCAATCTCCAGTGAGGAGTATTGTGATGACACAGGCAGACCTTTTATTCCATTCCCCCACTGCCATGAATAACTGGACCCATTTTCTGAACAATTTCGTTCTCTCAATGTAAATGGCAAACACGTTGTGGACATCCAGAGAGTGAAGTCTCTGCTCCCTGCCACTGGAATGCAGCTTAGGGTAGAATACTGGGAAAAAAATATGTTCTACTTGATGTGAAACTGCAGCACAGTGTTAGGAGGAAAGCAGCCTGAGCCTGAGCTGAATCTTTTCCTTATAGAACATGGTACAGGGAGGCTCTGATGCTCAGATCCTGTGCTCAGACACCCTCCTGGCTGCGGTTATTGCTATCAGGAATGGCACTTTTTAAAGAGAAAGACCAGAGAGCATGTTGCCAAGTATTCAAAGGACAGTCCCATGATTCTAGAAAAGACCAAGTTGAGGTTCCAGTCTGTGACAGACTGATGAACGTGAGGGTACAGTCTGTCAAGTGTTTTTAAAAACTAGCTGGCCATAAGGTAAGCAAACATAATGGTTCTCCATATCTGTGTGGAAAGCCAAAATGGCAGCTAAGTGCACCCTGATCAGTAACAAAAGCCACTGTTGCTTCAGATGGAGGAAACAGTCCAGAATAAGGGGCACTATGACTAGGATTGGGGACAAATGACACTGCACTGACAAGATTGAAAATCTCTCCCACTTGGCATGGTAGATGGCTTTTATAGAGGGTTTTATGCCAAGGAGGACTCATCTAACTGGTCTGAACAGAAAAGCTCCATCAGGTTCAATCATGAAGCTTCCATGCTGTGAGGTGAAGGGACTCAAGGTTTGGATGTTGAAGATGACCATCTCAGAAGGCCCTGGAAGAGGGCAGGGTTACTGGGGTTTCCACTGACACATCTTGGAGAGATGTGTATCAGTGCTGATGGGGCCAGGTTGGCGAAATCAATAAGACCTGAGCTCATTCCCTCCAGATTTTGAGGAGTTCCTTGTGACTGAGCAGTATGGATGGAAAGGTGTATGAGAGAACCTCATAAATGGAGGAGGATTGCGTCCATGCTGGAGCCTAAGCAGTGATTGAAATTACAACTTCTGGATGAAGGGGCCATTTGTGGCTGTGAAATGACCTGCTGAAGTGGTCCACCAGCTCATTCTGGACTGCAGGAAGATACAAAGCTTGCAGGTGTATTGAATGTTCTACACAGAAGTCCCATAGCATGAGGGCTTCCTTGCACAGGAGAGAGGAGTTCACACCCCTGTTTTTTATATAGAATGCTGTTACTGTGTTGTTGCTATTGTGTTTTCCATCATGACTGATACACATTTCCCTGTTAAGTATGCCTGGAAGATGTGGCATGCTAGGTGAACTGCTCTTAGCTCTCTGATTTTGATGTGGGGAGTCAGAGACCTGAGACCTTGAGTCCTGCAGTCTCCTAGATATGCTCTCCAGCCCAAGTCTGATATGTCCATCATTAGAGACAGAGGTAGTTGCAGATTGTCAATTGGGACTGCTGAGCATACCTCCTGGGGGTTCAGCCACCGTAGAAGGAAACTGAGGACCCGGCAAGGCAGGATCACTATCCTGTCCAAATTGTCCCTGCTGGGTAGTACACTGATATGAGCCACACCTGAAGAGGTCAAAGCCTAAGTCTGGCATGCTGCACTACATAGGTACAGGCAGCCATGTGTTGCAGAAGCTTCAGACAGTTTCTTACCATGGTGGGAAACTGTCTGAGGCCTTGAATGATAGCAGTCAGGGCCTGAAACTTCCCTTCCAGCAGGTATGCCGTGGCTAGGGAAGAGTCCATTAACGTCCCAATAAATTCTATACGCTGGATAGGGGACAGAGTCAATTCTGCTTCATTTAAGAGACCCAGGTTCTTGAAGATGGTTCTGATTAATTTGATCCAGGCTTCCACTTGGGTCTTAGAGTAGCCCTTGATCAGCCAGTCATTGAGG